ATTGAAGGATTTGGAGATAGTTACTCATGCCTTCATCACTTCCAGACTTGATTATTGCAATGCACTTTATATGGGTCTCAATCATTCATCGCTGAATCGCTGAATCGCTTGCAGTTAGTCCAGAACGCAGCCGCGAGGTTTCTGACTGGTACTAAGAGGAGAGAAAGCATTTCTCCTGTCCTAGCATCTCTTCATTGGTTACCGGTGCAGCATAGGATCCATTTTAAGATTTTATTATTTTTATTTTAAAGCATTAAATGATCTAGCCCCATCATACTTGTCCGAACTTCTCAGCTATCAGCAATCCTCTCACTCTCTCACATCCTCTGATAAACTTTTCTTGCATATACCTCGCACTTGCTTGAAATTTAAGGCGGATCGGGCTTTTTCTGTAGCCGGTCCTCGACTATGGAACAGCATACCTCTGGACATTAGATCTGTGCCTTCCCTTCCTGTTTTTAAATCCTGCCTGAAGACTTATCTGTATTCCTTGGCTTTTGGATGAAATGTGTGTTTGTGTATGTTAATGTGTTGTTAATGTGTTGTTAACTGTGAATATTTGGGGGAAATGTGTTTAGGAAACTGTGTTTTCTTTAAGCAAAATTTATTTATTTAGGATTTTGTTGCTTTTAACATTCCCCCAAAAACACACTCACACACACACACACACCTTTATTGCTATCTGGGTCTGTCATGCCAAAGGACATCATTGAAGTCCGGGAGTAAAATACAACAGTGTGGAGATCTGATCTCGTTCTTGAGGAGAATCATTTTAATTGGAACATGGGTCAGATGATCTGTTTCCCCCCAGCCCTACCGCCTCCTCATCCTGCTATCCCTAGTGACGGCTGGGCCCCTGGCTGCCTGTTTAGCAAAGGCCTGCCATGTGTGCCGCCCTAGTTTTGGTGCACAAGATTAATGGAGCACCACCAGAGGAACCATGGTAACCTGGAATAAAGCACAACGCTGAGAGGGGAAAGTACCACTGATTAGACTGCTTGTCCAAACCAAAATTACTGCAGCGTTATGCATAGTAGCACTCTCAAATACTCAAAGGAACCTCCCTCTGATGCTAATTCACTGACTATTGCAAATTGTTGCATTCATTTCTTTATTCTAATCATCAATTCTCGCTCTGCTCCTACAGCGGCAAGATGCTCGCATCATTGTGGGACTGTTTTACGAAACGGAAGCCAGGAAAGTGTTTTGTGAGGTCAGTAATCAGCCATCCAGCTGAGCATTATTAATCTTTTTCAATGTCAAAGGGGAAACATGGTGTTTCTGTTCATTTTTCATTCCCTAAGCCGACCTGTTTCACACAACCCAACTGCAGGTCTATAAGGAGAAGCTGTATGGGAAAAAGTATGTGTGGTTTCTGATTGGCTGGTATGCTGACAACTGGTTCAAAATCAAAGACCCATCCATCAACTGCACTGTGGAGCAGATGACAGAAGCTGTGGAGGGTCATGTGACCACTGAGATAGTCATGCTCAATCCGGAGACAGTGCGAGGGGCCTCTAACCTGGTGAGTGGGCCTGAATAATCTTTTTTTTCCTGATTCCTAATTATAACAATTTCTCAGTTTGTGTTCCGTGGCCAGGCCCAGACTGTGTTGCATTTGTGCTGTGGACTAGAATGGTATCTCAATTCATAAAGCTATTAATCAGACTTCTGATCTCTCTCTCTTCTTTTTTTTTGCCTGTTGGATGTTAAAATGGGGGAAGAATGGGCTTATATTGAAGGAGGGGCTTATGGAAGCTCGTTTCCACCACTGAATAAAAAATAGAAAAGGTAATTGCACCTTTTTATCTCACAATTCTGGACTATAAACTCGCAGTTGCAAGTTGTAAAGTCAGAATTGTGAGTTTATATTTTATAATTTCGAATTTATAAAGTTATAAAGTCAGAATTGTGAGATATAAATTTGCAGTTGTAAGAAAATGTCAGATTTGTGGAATATAATTTTACTTTTTTTCCTCAGAATTGTGAAATAAAAAGTTGCAAATAACTTTTTTTTCATCCCATAGCAGAACCTGACTTCCAAAGGAACACAAGCCATATCTATCTATAGATCAGAATATATATATATATTAACACTTGGGTGGGCTTTTTTGACTTGAGATAGTAAGCAACCACCTAGCAACTGGATTTTGAAGTTCCAAACAAACCTCATACAAAGTCTGTAAATTGTCTATACGTTCCGAAAATACTATAGAAATCACATAGCAACAGGCTAGCTTTTACATTCTGAAAATGACATAACACTCTAACCACCACTAAAAACACCTTAGCAACTGCATAGAAAACATTAAGAACCCCCTAGCAACTGCACAGCAACATGCTTAAAGTCACAAGAAATACTTCTTTTTAAAAAAATCGTTATTAATTAATATTGTGTAGAATAAGTGTTTCAGCTTTTTCTGTATTTCTGTATTTTCTCTTATTTGGGATCAGTGAATTACTGTATATTCTGTGTCTGTTGGCCATCAGCCACCCTGCTCTCCACATGCCCTCATCGGCCATTGAAAAACCCATAATGACTGTCCACCAGTGTCCCGTATGTTCCCATATGCTGCGCGCTTTACAATGACATCTTCCTCAGATTAGCGCGGCATACACAAGCTTCATTCTGTTTAGTTAACTAACTCCATTTCCCCACTGAGAATAGCCCATAACCTACCGTCATATCTTTAGATGTGTATGCGCTATTCTCAGATCTGAAAACCTGAAGAGTCACGTAGGGGTCAGAGCGCTCATGTCCAACTGCTGTCCCCCTGGGAGAGCTGAATGGACAGGTGTGAGCTCCAGGGGGTGCTGTCTGGAGCCCACCCAACTCCGGTGCTCTGTGCTGGGAATGGGCTCGACGCATATGTCCCTGCTGTTTTCCTGGATCCGGAGCAATCTGGGCATGTATCCAGACACCTATGCTTCACATCTGACGTAAAAAAAAAAACTGTCATGTTGGACAGGCCAGTTTGTGATAAGATGGCCATGCTAAATTGGCTCAGCATCACCATAATTTGTTCCCCTCATTCTCGCTTTACCGTCCCTCACTTTGAGGGTGTCATTTTAAGAGAGCCAAAATGCTTCTTGACACCCAGTTTCTATCCGCAAACATGTGCACACTTTCTCCACTGTCCATTTGCATCAAGCAATCACCAGATGCCCATCTGCAGCTTGGCTCATTTCCTAAAACGCACCTGTTTGAAGTGAGGAAGGTGCCTCAGCTGTTTGTATAAGGTGTGAAAAATGTCAAGGAAATCGGTTTTCATATGCCACCGCAATAAGAGCGCGCCAACTCTATTTCTTTTCCCAGTACCCCGTTAATGACATGGAACATCTTCAGAGTGTGTGTGAAAGCGGGAGTTTATTTTTGGCGCTTCAGGTCCTGGTGTGTGTGAATGAAGATTTCACACCCAGGAGAAAAGTACCTCCGTCTATATGATGCACTCCCACGGTAATGAACTGTACTGTAACTTACCTTGACCCCTCTCTCGCTTTTTTGTAGCGACAGTGAAGCCATGCTTAAAATCCATCAAGCATGAGCTCTTGTTAGCGCACTAAGTTTATTCCAGGTGCGTATGCTTTCATATGCATGCCAGATCATACCGTACGACCTCTCTTTTGATCCAGACCTCACAGGAGTTCCTAGCACAGCTGATGTCCAAACTGGGTGGGAAGAATCCTGAGGAAACCGGAGGGTTTCAGGAAGCTCCTCTGGCGTATGATGCAGTTTGGGCCCTGGCTCTGGCTCTCAATAAAACAGTGGGGCCTTTGAAGGCGAAGGGACGGAGATTGGAAGATTTCAATTACAATAACAAGGACATTACTGCGGAGATCTACCGAGCCCTCAACACCAGCTCCTTCGAGGGGGTTTCAGTGAGTGACGTCTTTGACTACATAAAGGTTCAGTAGTCAGTACCTATACATTTAATGATACTCAGTGATACACAGTTATGATACCACAGTAAAACTAATATGATAAACTAATGTTGATATTGTAAATTAAATCTACAACAAAAAACATTTAATTAACTGAAATAAAGCTGAAATAAAATAAAATAAAAATATTAGATGGAAAAACTTTAACTAAAAAAAATCTAAATGTTATCTTCGCAACTGACTGAAATAAGAGACGTGTGTGTGGTAAAATTACTAAATCTAAAACTGAAAAAAAGATAAATAAAATGATAAAATAGAAATATTACAAAAATAAGAACCAACAAAAATGGCTTGACAAAATTACTTAAACTTAACTCAATGAAGCCTACTGTATCATATTAAATATCCAAATTTCTAAATTACCGACATGATTAAAACTCTGCTGAAATACTTGGTGTACTCAATCTTTTACTGTACATCTGTGTGCATCTTTATTGATTTTTATAAAGTAATATTGTTAGTAATATTTCAATATGAACACTTCTAGACTGATGCAACTTAGGTTTACTTGATTATCCTTACATTTTGTTAAAATTTGAGTATCAAATATGACTTATCAGGTTTATTTGTTTATCTCTCAGTCATCATTGTATTATTATGCATGTATAATATGTTTGCCCCCACAATAAAAACTATAGAACTTTGATCATAAAGGAAAACATTTACTGTAAATATCATCTTACTAAGACATATTATTGGGAGATATTGAGAGCTGATATTTCTATGCAGTTTATGTAAGTAGTCTGTTATACTGTTATACAGATCTCACTGATTTACATTACAAGCTAACAGAACTTATTAGCCATATTTATTTCAGCAACTGCATATTTTTACTCAGTTTGGGCTAGGGCTGGGCGATAAATCGATAACGATAATTATCGCGCGATATACATTTACTCGATAAACGATAACAGGCGGAACGAAAGAGCGCAACTCATTTGAAGTGCGTCACTCGGACTGTTTATCCGCTCGGATCAAAGTTTAAGATCATAGATTTACTGTAGTAGCACTAACTGCACCATTATATTGTTTTAGAAATGTAGGTATTTGTGTCGAATTTATATTATTAATTTAGACATGTTTTAAATGTATTGAAGGAGGAGTAATGGAATATAATTACAGTATTTTTTTTTGTTTTGTGTGATTAAGCTATAGCGTTTATGCATTTATACTAAATTTATTTAGACTAGCTACTGTTTTTCATACAAATACCTAAAAACCATATTACATTTTTACCATGGTATTGAGGTGCTATATTTGTGGTTTTAATTGTGATTATCATGATCTAAATGTATGCTACTATGGAAGACCAGTGGTTAATAAAAAAAATTAAAATCTCAAACAGTCAGAATAATTAAATTTCACCATATAAAAATGAGGTTGCTACAATACTTACAGATATTACTTATTTTGATAATGAACAAATCTACATCTGCATCCTAACTTAAGCTACTATTAAATGTGTATTTCTAAGAGAAATGTTATATTATTATTAATATTATCAGGCAGCACAAACCTGTTTCTTGATTTGAAACAATATTACTATTTAGAACGTGCAGATCTAAGAAATTATTTTTATTTTTTATTATTTATAGAAGATATTTATTTTAAGTAAAAATGACTGGAAAAGTGTAAAGAATTCAAAAACGTAAATTGTTTGTCATGTTCTGACCATAAAGAATAGTTTAAAACCACAATCAGCTGTCTGGTTTTTACAACTTTCTCATTGGAGCAAAAATCTGCCTTTAATCTTGAAAAAAAATGCACATTTATCGTGATAATTATCGATATCGACTGATATGAAAAAACATTATCGTGATCATTTTTTGGCCATATCACCCAGCCCTAGTTTGGGCCAATAAACTGAGGTGTTTTTCTGTCACTATATCGTACTAAATGAGCCATAAAAGCCTAATGTATCAGATCTAATGCTCAACAAATATATATATATATATATTTCCAACTATGATTTCATGTCAGGTTTAATCTAAATATTTACAGGGTTTCATATATACAGGCTCAAACTAAAATTAAAATGAAAACTGAAAATATAAAAATAAAAGTGAATTCAATGAATACCATATAGATAACACTATACAAACATTTAAGAGAGCGATAGACACAGCAGTATAAAAATGTTTCCGTTCTCTTTCAGGGTCATGTGGTGTTTGACGCCCAGGGCTCCAGAATGGCATGGACCCTCATTGAACAGCTGCAAGGTGAGCAAAATAAAAAGTAATTTTATGATTTATTTCCCACTGAGAACTGTAAGGTACAGATATAATAAAGGGTAAATGAGAGTGAGTGTGGACAGCAGGTGTAGCCTGTATGCATGGATGCTTCTGCTCAGTTCTAAAATGATGAACAACTCTGCGATCAGTGTTCTCGCTCCGTTTTGAGAGTGGCACAGGTGTCAGGTAAAACACTGTTTTTCCTGGGTTCAAAAGCTTCAGAGCTGTAATCATTTGGCCAAAGCCAGAGAAACGACGCTTGAATTGTTTTTAGCTCAGTATCATTTTATTCATAGCTCTCATGCACTCTCAAAAAATGATTGAAGAGAAATTACATGTGCATGAAAACTTAATACAATTCACTGAATATTTCAGTAGACATGGTGGTTCAGAAGAAGCCACTCTCGTATCGATGCTAAATTAGTTTTTTTAAACCCATTCGTTATTACTGTTAAGATCCATCATTTTGGGACATAGGTTTGGAAAAAAATACAGAAGTACATATTTGGATATCTATTCTTAGTGGTGCACTTAGTATTTCTTTCTTTCTTTCTTTTTCTTTTCATTGTCTGATAGAACATTGGTCTTTATACAGACACCAGATGCAGCGCCATGGAAAAGCAAATAGCAAACTGTGATATAGTGAGTAGTACTCAGTTGTTAATGTGATCTTAACATGGAACCACTCTTTAAAACTGTTTCTAGGTCACTTATATGACTGGAGTCTTCATCTCGTAGGAGCTTGTATCGTTTTGTTCATATTTTTCAAAAGAGCCATGGATTTCTTTAGGTGTAAAACTTAGGTGTTAAAGTAGAGAAATGAACACTTATTTCACCCTGAACAAAAAGTAAGAATTCAAAACAGAGTAAAAAGAAGTGAGATGTAATAGTCTTCTGTGGAAAAATACCTGCTTCAATGTACTTGTGGCAGAAGTGGCTTGTTGTAGGAGTTTTAAGTGTATCTGTGCCCTACATTAACAAATCACTGCTTTATATTCCATGCAGAACTCTTGACTTTTTTCTGTTTTATATGTACAGTCTGTTTTAAGTCCCCCCACACCACTTCTATGAGGTTGAGGTCTTGGATTTCAATCGATAGCCCAGCATTTAGTCTTTTTTGAGACTATTTTTGTGGTTTTGCTTGAGGGTTTTGAGTCATTTTATTGCATGGTCTGTTTTGTACATGTCTACATTTCAGCTTTAGCTTTTTGACAGACTGTCTCATGTGAATTAGTCCTCTGGTACAATGTGGGGATTCATGGTTTACCCTATGATGCCGAGCTGACAAGGCCTGAGGCAGAAAATAACCCCAAACTAATAAAGCTTCCACCAGCACACTTTACAGTTGCTGCTAGGGTCTTTTTTTATCAAAGCAGTCAAAGCACTTTTTGGTCTCCACATGTCTGTCATTGTGGCCAAGCGGCTCTACCTTTGTCTCATCTGTCTAGGACATATTGTTCTATTAGTTTTGATTCATAACTGTTTGTAGACCTGTATTAAAAATGAAAATTCCTTATTTGCATAAGTAATCAGGACCTTTTCTATGATATTAAAATTGAGTTCCTGATGAAACTACCTCAGGCTTCTTTATTTGTTTTTAATGAAGTTAGATTGTTTTAATATATTAATTATATTATTATTAATAAATGTTAATAATGACAATTGAAATCATTTTAAGTCATGCTGCAGCTCACTTTTTGCTGAGGCCACCCCCCACGGTTGAAAACCACTGATCTAGAACAAATTCAAGGAAGTTTTAAACATAACCAAGGAAATATTTAATCTCTAAAATGTTATTTCTAAGTTGAAATTGCATCATATGTTGAAACATTGGGAATTTAGAAATAATTTTACTCCTTAAGATGCCATTTTTATTCTTTCCGCCAGCCGCCAAGCCTTGTGCACAGATATGGGATATCAAAGAAGGAATACATATATTCTGCCTTCAAAAGCCAACTAGATGAAAGCATCTTAGTAGACGGGATGTTATGCAAAAATTGGATTCAGACATGCCTGGCTGCCTTCTTACCTCCGTGCAGGCAGCATTTTTTAGCCTGCGATTTACCACATTCCTGTGTGTGCAGGTCTGATGGTGAGGTGAGGTGCCTGAATGAAACCAGTTTCCTCAGGAGGTGTTCTCATGCATGAAACTGGGCAGTAGCACAGCTGCCTTCGGGCAAAAGTCTATAAAAAAGTCCCAGAGTTCACAGTGCATGACAGAGCAAAACCTGCACCAGATTCAAATATCTCTCCATAAGCCTCTGATACAGAGTTGTGTCAGTGTATAAATGTGGATGCCAGTGTAAAAAAAGTGATGGTATTAAAGGTTCACAGGAGCGCAGTGACCTCCATTATTGCTCAATGAAAGGTTTTGAAGCTGTTACAACTCTTCATGAATATGGCAGTTCGACCAGATTGGTCATTTGGCCTAGTCTGACAAAGGTCAGCCAGGTTAACAAGAATCCAAGGTCTCACTCACAGATATTTAGAGATTTTTTGAGAATGCCAGTGTTGTGGGATTGAAAGTCTAACAAGGTAAGCATCATAAGAATGGCCGGTCAATTTCAAAGCCATCTTTTGGAAAGAAACGTTTATACAACCAGCATCTGGAATACCAATGGAAGCCACATATTCCATGCAGCCTCATTTCCAGACTTAAATATTCCATTTGAACTTCACACACAATTCCAGACATGGTGACAGGAGCATCTCTTCCTTCATTTGCTCCTCGAGTGACAAGTGTATTGCGACTGCAACCTCAACTGTCGCACGCAGATTGGATCCTTTTCTCTCTCCTGTCGTTTGTTTTCGGTCTTTGTATTGGCATTGTTTCAGAAGCTGTCTTTTTGATCAGTGCGCCTGTGTTCCCCTGTTCAATCTGTCACATCTCTTTGTGTCTCTGCTGGTGCCCAGATCCTACGTCAATCCCTCTTTGTTTGACACAATAAAAAATAGAACTACATTTTAACATTGTCTGAAGAAAATATTAATAGAATTCACTGCCACTCTGCTACTGTGTTCAAGTTGCAGTAGTCATTGCACTGCAACTGCTAAGGTGTTTCTCTGTTTTTTTCCTGAACTTAGTCAAAAAAGCCCACCATAATGTAAGTTGTGCTTGCCCATCAGAAGTCCCCTTCACAATGCTAGAGTGATGTGGGTGGTTGTCAGGGTGTTGTTATGCTGTTGCTAGGTGTTTGCTAGAGCATTGATATGTTGCTATATACTGGTCCAAGTCAAAAGATTCCCCTAAAGTTGAGAGTAATGCTTGCCCATACAAAGGTTTATTTAATGGTGCTGGGTTAAAATAGGGCGTTTCCAGGGTGATGCTGTAGTGTTGCCAGGTGGTTGCTAAGGCATTGCTAGTTTTTTTTACTGGTCTAAGTCAGAGTCCACCAAAATTGTGAGTTATGCTTGCCCATGCAAAAATGACCTTCACAGTGCTAGGTAAGCGTATGAAGTTTCCAGGGTGTTGTTGTGCTGTTGCTAAGGTGTTGCTAGGTGGTTGCTAATTGGTTATTTAGTGTCTCAAATTAAGAGGGTTCTCCAAAATGTGAATGATGCTTGGTCATGCAGAAATCACCTCCACAATGCCAATGAAGCTGGTTTCCAGGGTGTTGTTGGGCAGTTGCTAATGTGTTGCTATATTGTTGCTTAGGTTCCTAGATGTTCAAATTATGACCACTTGAAAAAGTGATTTTAATGGTCTTATTAGTATTGTGAACGTTGAGTCCGTCGCTGGATGAAATAGGTTTCAGAATGAAACTGCAGAAAGATCTACAGCCAGAAACCAAAGCAAGCTTAGAGGATATTATCTAAATGGTGGAAATTACAGTCTTTTAGGCATTTATTCTCATGCCTGGATCATAAAGTGCTCCCAGAGCCTTTCTTTTCCCTTTTTTTCAAGTCTCCCAGGGGGAAGCCCAAGTTGACTGGAGTAATTACGCTTAATGATCACCTGATAATTATAATGGTTCTCACTTAAGCTAATTTCTCGTTGTGTTTGGGGGTGGAGGCCCTCAGAGCCTAGCAAAGATCTCTGTTGTCCGCCAGTGTGTTTTGAGAAGGAGAGAGAGGGCGTGCATGAAAGAAAACAGAGAAATGGAGCAAGAGGGAGAGAACGTAACAGAAGATAAATTCCTCTGTCTTACGGTTCTCGCTCGAGCACTGCTGATACGGTGGTACGCAATTACAGCATTCTCTATAAAGCTGATTGCCTGCTGGAATATAAGGATTGATGATAGATCTGTTTTCAGTCTGTTTGTCTAATTAGATCGTCTAATCTAAGTGTTGTTTGGTCTCTAAAGGCTGCCCAAAATCGGATCCAACCTCACCGTATTGATTTACAGCAATGTGTAGTGACATTTCTCTTTCCTCCTTTGTTCCTCCCATAAAACTCTCCTTTTACATGTTTTCTGCTTCCCTGCATCTCTGAAAGTCAGTGTGAAATCAAAATGGGCCGTTTACTTTTATAAATCATAGAACTTTTTCCACATCTGAATGATTTTCTTTTTTTGTTTGTTTGTTTTAGTTCACCTAAGCAGTGCAGACTAGTTAATGTTAACCAACAGCGAAATAACTATTTAGTCATTACTTTAGGCTACTGGAAACCTAGCTTTTATATAACCTTGCCAGTTTAATGCTCATTAATTTGAATGTTAGAAAAGGTTACAGCAATAACAGTAAATGATAGATTTGAAAAAGAAGCTAAATACAGATCTTGACCCTCAGCCTCTTCAGAAGTGGGTGGAATTGGGAATCAAGAACTGATTCTTTTTTGGATTCACATTTTTTTTTTTTTTTACATTTAACAAAAAAAATAAATGTTTTCTTTAATAACGTTTGTGGACCTTCCACTTTCAATTGCATGTAATAAAAAAGAAGCAATAAATAAAGACAATAAATAAACGACCAGTGTAGTCTGATTCACAAACAAATGATTCATGACTTTAATGAGTCGGTCAAAAATACTCGCAAATCAGACTCAAACAGGTAAGTTATTGTTTTGAAACTCCACTTGTCAGAAAAGTTTTAAACATCTGACTCAGACACCGATCCACAAATCTGACTCAGAATTAAGAGAACAGTGAAGCCTTGTTCACACTGACAGCGTGGTCATGATGACTTTTCAATTTTCATTTAATCGTCCTCATGTCAAACCCATAAAACTGTCATTCATCTTCAAAACACAAATTAAGATATTATTCGCTCATAATTTTTGTCTATTCATTGAAAGGCCACACAACCAACATTTTCAAGCTTCAAAAAGTTCATAAAGAGGTTGTGACAGTAATTCATATGAATCAAGCGGTCTAATCAAAGTTTTGTAAATAGACACGATCGCTTTATATGATGAACAGATTTAGTTTAGTCTTTTATTTACATAGAAACCTGGATCAAAACACATACATAGAGGACATCATCTATGGTAAAGAGAAGCTCAAGGAAATGTCAAGGGTCATGGTGACAGTAAAAAAATAAAATAAAGATGGAAGGGGGGAAAAATTATTGCGTTCCCTTGCAAAACGTCTGCGCTCACTTGTAAAGGATTGTGAACGAAAGAACTTTGCACACAAAACTTTTTTGATAGAAATAATGTGAGGTAAGAATAAAAATGCAAAGTTTCTTGGGGGAACACAAAGCTTTTTTAAGTGAACACAAAAGCATTAAAATATATTTTCCCTCCAATTTATATATAAATATTTTTCAATCACCATGTCCCCTTAGTGGTTGTTTGACTCTTTAAGCATCCACGTTTGCATTTCTGTTTACCATATTTGATGTGCTCTATACATGTGCATTGATCAATGTTTATAAAATCAATGTGATTAAAAGCAAAATTAAATCTGGTCATGATATAAAGTGTTTATGTCTCCTTAGAAGACTTGAATTTCCACTATTTTGGTTGGACTTTCAATGGATGGGCAGAAATGATGAGACGATATTAAAAATGTCTTTATTTGTGTTCTGAATATTAACAAAAGTCAGGTTTTGAATGACATGAGGGTGAGTAAATGATGAGAAAATAACATGAGGAAAATGTTGTTCCAGTTTGCATGATGTTTCAAAATGCTGAAAGAAAGTGTTTTCTTATGCGTTTTCTTTCTGCATGTTAACAGGGTCACCCTGCACTGCCACTGGTAGTCACCACTTAGCTCATTTGCATAAAGCTGAATTCCCAGTGGATAAATTGAATTCAATAACATTTTTCCTCCTTAAATATCCTGTCTCAAAAACCTGTCACATTATAGAGGAAAAATGTTTTGTGAATGCCATTTAATGTTGACTCTGAACTATTTCTGAATCACACTCTCTCCCTGCAGGAGGAAGCTACAAGAAGATTGGATACTTCGATATGACCAAAGCCAATCTCTCATGGTATGGGAATGACAGGTGGATAGGTGAGGACACATTTGTCTCTCTCATCTCCCATATATGCTCTTGTTTATCACCGTCTCAAGCACTATTCTCTGTTTTAAACCTCCTCTCACACATTCACTTACATTATTACTCTTGCTGCTCATCTGCATCTCTCCCAGTGTCACAGCCGCACATTCTAGGCCCCGCCCCCAAAACGAAGAGAACCGCGAACGACAGGCCGCTACTGGCCATTAATCAATCAGTCAGTCAAATTCTGTTTAGCATTCTGTCCGTGAAGGCAGCCGTGCTGCGGGAGCTCTGCATGGCTCAACAAAAAAAGACAAATGAATGCCATTAGAAAGCCGCCAGGAGTTAATTCCAATCATAAATTGAGCAAGCGCACTGATAAAAATTTCGTGCAATATACAATGAGTGATGGTTTCATTTAATCTTTTTAATTGTATTTGATGACCAGTTCATGCTCAGTGTTGCTGACTGTGCACTGAGAAGATGCCAACTGACAGCTGAAAACAACACAAATCAGAAACGGGCCCAGGCTATTCCCCAGCTGCCTCCCAGCACGTGCTAACCTTGACTGGACGAGTACGAATTGTCCAATCAAGACACGACGTGCCTCAGCTGATTGTCATTGCCTGTTATTTAAACCCTCACGGGCTCTGAACAGAGCTTGCCGTTTTGAAAAACATCCTCGAGCTTTGTGATAGCAGCCTGGGTTTGTTGGTTTATAATATTGACGGTACGACGCCACATCAGCGTGCTCATTATGTGGCCATTTCTATGCCTAGACATTTCCCTAGATGTGCTCTCGGTGGGCTTACGTTGTTTTGAACTTGCTTATTAGCTTATTAAAAACTCACTGAAGCAGCGAGCACTATGGCAACTGTAGCACGTCGGCATTGCGAAATGCGCTAATTGCGTTTTTTTTCACAAGCCCTTCCGGGGGCCTTGTGATGGAACCTGTTTTTCATTTATTTACCCAGCTTGCAACTGGGAATAGTGCCCACAGCATTGTCATACACCCCAGGTGGCTCACACAGTCTGGCACCTTTAACGTTTGCATTAGTTGTCAATGATAGATCTCTTTGGAGGTCATCACTTTAACAGCAACCCTTGACTGTGCCAGACTGTGGGTCGCCGTGAGTCTGCTGGTGAGGTGAAAGGTCGCCGTTTGATCGTGACGAGGTGAACAGGAATGCGAGATCATCAAAGTTAGAAGATGTTAGACAGATGACCTTTGAGCCATCTGCAGACGCACACGCAAGTGCCACCCATCAACGCCCAACTTTTCACCTTGCCGCAATGGTCACTGACACTCCTGGACAGTGTATTCCAGAGAGACGGCAGTGTGTAGAGCTAAAAATAATCAGTGCTGAAATAAAGGCCTCTTGAAGGAGAGGGTGACTTTGCTCCAGATTGGATGCCACGTGTTGACCGATCTCTCATTCATACTAACTGCAAAGTGAAGGTTACGTCCCTTAATTTCTCAGCTGAGTGGGAACATTTTTGTTTAAGTCTTTATGCTCAATTGTTTCTCGCTGTTACCCATCCACTTCACTGGCCTCGCTCGTTCTCTCTCGCTCTCGCCGGTCGCCCCTGACAACCACTGCATCTGCACCTTGTTCTCTTATCGCTGTGGCAACCATTATGGGTCTTGGTCGTCATGGCAACATACTGTCCCGATTCCACCATCAAGGACAGGGAGAGGTATTAAACAGCATGAGCTCTTTGGCCCGATGGATGCACACACATTTACAAACATTTACACCCATCACACATTCACTGTTGACCTGATTTGCATTAAAGACACCTTGAAATCTACTTAAAATTACTGTATTTACTTTGTTAAAGGGATAATAAAATTATTTCAACATTTACTCATCCTCATGTTGTTCCAAACCCGTATGAGTTTCTTTCTTCTGTTGAACACAAGAAGAACACATATTTTGAAACATGTTGGTAACCAGACAATTGACGGTAGACATTGACATCCATAGTAGGGAAAAAAATACTGACTACCGTCAATTGTTTGTTTATCCATATTCTTCAAAATATCTTCTTTTATGTTCAAGAGACGCAAGAAACTCTTGCAGCTTTGGAACAACTTGAGGGTGAGTAAATGATGACAGAATTTTAATTTTTGGGTGAACTATCCCTTTATTACACATTACTTGGTCTTATCAGTGCATGTAAACAAGTTTCCATCGTAGTAATAGTGCACCGCCTCTGAAATGACTTCACTTCTTGGCTGACATCACCATCCCCAACTACGTTTTAAAATCTGATCAATTCCAAATTAGATCCAAATCAAGTTTCACTCAGAAATATTTCACTTTATGGAAGTAAGTGGGTTTCCAACCCAATTTCATGTATAATCGACACCCGACCGACTGCTAATATCTATGAATTGTGTTATCCGACTAAATGCGTTCACTCAGTTCCTCAAGGACTGCAGCTCCACACGGATCGCAAGTTAATTTTAACACCACTGCAACGTTAACATTCTGACCTGAAACACCATAGCAACCACTTTCTATTTCCACAAACCACTTAAACTCATGTGTCGTGCCATATCACATCCTGGGTCTGTCTGTTAAGATTGTTCCAGCATCAGCACAGCTCCATGCTGCTTCCCAGCATCCCAGGATCCGTCTGTTGGCTGTATTCTGCCCCGAGCATTCGCGTTTGGTTGGATCTCCCGCTCTCCTTTAATCAATATCAGCGAGATCCACAAGGGAGATGGCCTCATGTGAACTTCTAATTAAGACTGACAGCCGCTGCGCTTATCAGATGCCCTGGCGAGGTGTTCCGGTGGGACCGCATGGGCAATATGAGTCCTGTCAGGCTCAAGGAGCTGGGCTTTATAAAAAATAATCATTTCTATAGATAGATGTAACAAGCCGTGTGGTCCCCAGCCAATTTGTCACTCACAATAGAATGTGACACTAGTGCACGTCTTGTGTGCTGCCCACCCATTGAAGGAAGCTGACCACAATGCACCCTGTTGTGCTTTGTTGTTGCCAATTGGCCAGCCGATTACCCATCTGGAGGCAATGAAAGTCTGCGATGGTATCGCTTCACAGAGACCAGAGGGGGAGAAGCTTTAGTCAAATGGCAGTGAGGTGAAATTCGATAGCTATCGCTCTCTCTCTGCAGACTCTGAAATGCAGCCACTTTATCAAGAGAGAGAGAAAGAGAGGCAGAGAGGGAGGTAAAGTGACTTATTTCTGGCTACGAAAACAGCAGTTCAGAGCTGCTCTCCTTTTCTTTCTTTTGCTCAGTTGTTTCATTATTCAAAATATGTGATTATTGCATAAATAAGTAAATCAAATTTAAGTAAATAACAAATGCTGTATAAGTAAAAAAAAAATTTTTTAGTATTATTTATATACTATTGTTTGTGTTTTTACTATACTATTGTTTGTGTACTTTGTTTTTTTGTAATTTTTTATTATTATTATTAATATTTCTGTTTAGCTTTAACTTAATTTTCTATCAATTTTAGTTGCAGTAATTTTAGTACTTCAACTTAAAATTATTTTATTTCGGTTGGTTGCTTTTGGTTGCTAAACATTTCGTTTAAGTTTTTTTTTTTTTCATGTAATATTTGTATTTTATTTTATTTCAGCTTTATTTAAATGAACAACAATTGTTTTCATTTTAGTTAACAATATCAGCACTGGGTTTAGCAGATCAGCAGTTCCTCTTCATGATTTTATAGTCTTTATTAATTTTGAATTAGCTTTTTTATATTTTCAGTTTACATTGTAAATTTAGTTTAGGTTTTTGTAGTTTTGTTATGTGATTTAGTCATTTTTAATATAAAAAAAATTATTTGTTGCAATTTTTACATTAACAAAAATTATTTTTAACAGTTTTAGTTAAAAACAACACTCTGCTTAACAGATTAGCAGTTTATATACATGCAAATATGAAGATGTATGACCATATTTACATTTTTCAAGCTGTGATGCTACTAGCTACATACTAGTCATGTGGAAGATGGAGGTCTGACCGCTAATAATGTTATTCATGAAAGTGTTGCCAAGTTATTTCAATGTAATATAAAATAATATAATACTAAAAAGCCTAATTTCTCTCTCCAGGCTCTGGTCCACCTGCTGACCAGACGGTGGTGATTCAGAAGTTCAGATATCTGTCACAAAAACTCTTCGTCTCGGTGTCTGTTTTCGCTGGCTTGGGCATTTTAATGGGGATCGTTTGCCTCACCTTTAACATCTACAACAGCAACGTCAGGTATGTTTAGCTGTGGATGAAACTATATGCTCCTGCCTGCAGGCCTGTGTTCATTTATATTGCATACTCGCGTGTGAGTTCGGTGCAGAGGACAGCGTGATACATGCATATAATTAGCTGGTGTTTCCAAGGGTCACATTCACCTATTTATGCATTCTCTTTGCATAGAAACACGTCAGTTTCAAACAGGCTCATGCATGATGAATAGTGATAGCATTTCACACATATTCAAACTCCACCGACACATTCAGACTAATGTTCGGTGTTTCAGTCTTTTTATCTTAGTGACTCTTAGACATTCAACTAGATTTTCTCAGCAGACAGCTTAAGCTAATACCCTGAACACTTACAAATCTTGTCATGCATGTGAGTGAATGTGTGAGTGCATCTATGAATCTGCATGTTTTTGTGTGATAAAAAGGCTCAGGAGTGTAAGTCCTTTTCCACTGTGAGAGATTAACTAAATTAGCTGAATCAGAGTTTATTTATGTTAAGGTACATTCAAAACTCCCAGCCGTACCTGAATAACATGACTGCAGTGGGCTGTATGATGGCTCTGGCTGCTGTTTTTCCTCTGGGAATTGACGGACTGCATGTACGCAACTCTCAGTTTCCTGTGGTCTGTCAGGTAAGTGCTCCGGCATTCTGGGTGACACAGTTTTGTCATTTATATTTAAATTGATGTTATTTATTGTAGTAGTAATCGAGTTTATAAAATCTCCTGGACAGTCTTCTTCAGAAGGGCTTTAAGGAGGCATATCAGGGTTTTAGTCCAGGGTTCTTGCATCAAAAAAATATGAATTATTTAATTTTTCATGACCATTTTTCACCCTCTCTCAGAATCTTAAGTATTAAACAGACTTGTTTCACTGCCTTGCTTTCAGACATCTATGTATATGCCCTCTTCGTTTACACTTACTCATAGGTCACAGGCTTGCCGTCAGGTCCAATTTAGTTTGCACTGGCCCTTCCTTCAAGAACAGCGTCTTAGAAAAGCCTGAAGATCAGAACGAGCTGTTTTTGCAGCTTAAATTTAATAAATGCACTTTTATTCTACTATTAGCTCTTTTTTACATTTAATTCACCTTTGATATATGACAAAACAGAATACAATGAAATTAGAATTTTAGAATTTTTGGAATTTTAATATTGGGCATTTAGTGTTTATCTCCCATTTATCTTTTAAAGTTAAACACTGAAATATTGGCTAAATTGTTTTATTATTATTGTTCGTTTACACTTACTCATAGGTCACAGGCTTGCCGTCAGGTCCAATTTAGTTTGCACTGGCCCTTCCTTCAAGAACAGCGTCTTAGAAAAGCCTGAAGATCAGAACGAGCTGTTTTTGCAGCTTAAATTTAATAAATGCACTTTTATTCTACTATTAGCTCTTTTTTTTACATTTAATTCACCTTTGATATATGACAAAACAGAATACAATGAAATTAGAATTTTAGAATTTTTGGAATTTTAATATTGGGCATTTAGTGTTTATCTCCCATTTATCTTTTAAAGTTAAACACTGAAATATTGGCTAAATTGTTTTATTATTATTGATTTTTCTAGTTCCGTTTGTGGCTGCTTGGACTTGGCTTCAGTTTGGCTTATGGAAGTATGTTCACGAAGATCTGGTGGGTTCACACGGTGTTCACAAAAAAAGATGAGAAGAAGGACAAGAGAAAGGTGAGTAGAGAACTATATAGGCATCTTTAAAAAAAATTAAGCTTTAACTCAAATGTAAATAAAAATCTAGGACTGTGTGAGGTTAAACGGAGGTGTTTCAAGACAAACTATCTGTCCTTTTAAACCCTCATAGGGATTTTCTCTTGACTTGTGTCAAGGACGTTCAGTACACAGCTGGAATGATCAATATATCATAGTGAAAATATTGTTTCTTTATAAAGTATATATCTCGTTCCTGTCTCTGTTATCATCTTTAGATCTCCTTCTCACTTCCACTGCCTCTACTGCTTAGTCACTGTCTCTCTGTCTGATCTCATAGAGATGGGTCCCCCGTTGTCCTTGAGCATCCTTAAACAGCACATTTATCATACTGCACAGCCCCATGAGCCAGCTGTCACTCCATCACCACAAGCACACTGCAAAAGATCATTTACAGTGGTTATGTTTGATTTTTTGTAACACTTTAAGATCCCATTTGTTAATGTAGCCTATTAGTTAACACCACCTTACAATGAGTGATATATTTTTGCAGCATTTATTAATCTTGGGTAATGTTAGTAAATACATATACAATTGTTTATTGTTCATTTTTGTCCACAGTGCATTAACAAAAAGTTTATCAGTAAATGTTGAAATGAACAATAACTTAAGATGAATAAAAGCTGTGTAAGTATTTATCATTGTTAGTTCTGTGCTGTATTAAGAAAGTGATGCTTTGAAGGTCAGACCTCACATCACCAATCACACAAACGCACAGCCATAATAACTAAAATAAGGATAGAGAAAGAGATAAAGACAGAGGAGAAAGGTATTTTCAGGATAAGTACATAATGCCTATTATTGAGTATTCATGAATGTCCATCTAGCGGTGGAGAGGAGCTTGTCTTGAGTCCCTGTGGAGAGCTCTCTCTCTCTCTCTCTCTCTCTCTCTCTCTCTCTCTCTCTCTCTCTCTCTCTTTCTCTCTACCTCTGCACAAAGAAAGGATTCAGAGATTGAGAAATGATCTGTGATGTGCAGTGGGGCATCAAATTGACAGCTTTGTCGTTTTCAAACATGCTTCTTTGACTGGGGAGCCACTAGAAATACTTTTTTTAATGTAAAAAAAAAACACACACAAACTGAGCATCAGTAAGTTAGTTTGAAGTGGATACTTCAAAGTCATTGTCAGGATACAAAAGGGAAATATTGGAAAAAGAATAGTGTCAGCATTTATTATAGACCATAAGACAGAAAGACATATTTGGGACAAACAATCTGTTTTAAATACAGAGGAACTCATGATGGGTATTTTATTGTGTGAATTGTCATGAAAATGTCCCCTTAACACATTAAATACGTCAGATAATGCCAGAAAAAATGACAAAAACAAAACTAATTAAGGGTAAAGAAATAATTTACACTTGACTCTCCGTTTGTAAAAACATACTTAAAAACTAGCCTATGGGGAAACCAGAAGCTCATCCACCTAGACAAGCAGTTCCACCACTTAAAGGATGATTGAAGTGTCTTTAGAGCTTAATATAAGCACTTGAGCAAAAAATGCAAGCTTCACATTTTTACTTGAAAACCTCCTGAAATGGCCCATAGTCTTTTTTTAGTACATTCCTGTTCTTTTTTACAGAGGCATGAGTCGACGTTCTGTGGTAATCGATAGCAGTCCATGCATAGAGCTTAACTTGTTTTAAACCCAGAAAATTCCTTGAGTCAGTTGTCTGGCTATGTGTGAGTTCTTTCATCTTCGCCGCTGTGAAGGTGTGTTTGAGGTTTATGAGCTCTCAAAAGTGACAATAAACAATACGAGTCACAGAGAACATAAACACTTTTTATGTTGCTCTTTAAATAAATACTTTTTATGTTTAATTGCTCACAAACACCATCCTCGCTACAAGAAAAGAACGACTATTGATTTTGTTGCAGCGTTATGGTCTCAGCCGAAATCCATTATAGACACTTTCCTTACTTAAACCATAAAGTGCGGCCACCGTGTGGCGGATTGAATTGGCATCCTGATAATGGGCCATTGTTTCCCCTTCAAGCTCTCTGCACTTACGCTCTGTATGTTGTCATGAATCACGGCGCAAGCTGTGTCTTTCACCGTCCAGAATGGAAAGTTGATTCAGTGGTCCTTTTATATCCCAGCAGCACCTGGAGCCATGGAAGCTCTATGCCACTGTGGGAGCCCTGCTGGTTATCGACATCCTGTCCCTTATGATTTGGCAGATCGTGGATCCCCTGCACATCACAGTGGAGGTACGGCAGCACTCAGTTTTTGATCAAGGACTGTGGCACAGCTGGATTTGTGTTTGGCCTCAAGGTGCATATAAACAAATTATTGAATGAGCTGCTGTTGTGTTTCTCTTTCTATCTGAGCAGAAGTTCACTAAAGAAGCACCTAAAGGGGACCTGGATCAGTTGATTGAGCCTTTGCTGCAGCACTGCAGTTCAGAGAAAATGAACACATGGCTTGGTAAGACTTCTCTGGGTTTGACACTGTATTTGTTCACATTGCACCCAATTCTGATTTGTTTTTTGTAAAATGTAAATGCCTACACTCTTAAAAATAAAGGTTCCTTATTGGCATTGGTTCCATGAAGAACCTCTAACATTCATGGAACATTTTCATTGCATTAAACATTCTTTATAGTGGGGGAAGAAATTATTTAGAATTTTAAAATGTTCTTCACACTAAGAAAAAATGGTTCTTTTAAAAATTGTTCACTGAAAAGTTATTTGGGGAACCCAAAATGGTTCTTCTATGGCATCACTGCGAAACCCCTTGAAACCTTTATTTTTAATAGTGTACAGCTGCATTTTATACATTTTACCAGTTAATGCATTTCCTGACTTTAGTGTGCAGTATTTCAGTTCAAAAACCTGCTTTTTATTTACCAACCACTTGTAATCTAGTTAAACCCGACACTATCTGTGCTGATTTAGGGCTGCGGAAGGCATATTTAAATTAAGTCGTTTTTGTAGAAAACAGGCAGTAAATAGAATTTAGTTTGAAGGAGATGTTTGTGTACATTTTCTAGTGATCATGCTGGCGGTGATTCATCAAGCGATGATTAAATGATATATTATAAGCAGTGTATATCCAGATGCGCAGTGTAATCAAGCACCCTTAAGACATTTTAAAGAGCTGCCTGAGCTGCCTGGAACACACTGGAGGAGGGATGCTGCACATTTGCAGTAAAGTATGACAGATTCCCTTGTGAAAAAATAAGTGTGCTAAATTAATTTCAATGTGCACTTGTAGTATACTTTAAATAATTTGAAGTATTTTTAAGTATATTTTAAATATATTTATATCTATAAATATATAAGTATATTTTAAATATATTTTTATATTTATTATATAATTATATATATTTTTAAAAAACTGTGCAGAAAATATAATGAAGTAAACGGCCACTTAATTGTACTTAAAGAGAGTAGACTTCAATGACTGTTTCTTAACACACTCACATACTCTTTGTAATAATGTCAAATTAAAAGTTTTACCTTAAACTACATCTTAAATCATTATATTTTAGAAATATTGTTTCTTATTTTGATCTGTTGACTAACATATTAAAGCACATGTAAAGTACTTGATTATAACTGTAACTGTGTTATTCAATATTACATTTAAAGTTATTATATTTTAAATGACCTAAATTGCAACTTCTTTACAAATGTGTAATTACAGATATATTTAAATACATGACATAGAAGTTTCAGTAGAGATGACATAAGTTTATAAGTATTAGATTACCATAAATTTTTGTCAGAACATTCAGCGGTACACTTTAACCATATTTAAAAGACAATAGAAGTAATTGTGAAATGACATTATAAAGATGTACTTAAGTCCTACTTAAACGGTTAGTTCACCCAAAAATGAAAATTAGCCCATGAATTACTCACCCTCAAGTCATCCTAGGTGTATATGACTTTCTTCTTTCAGACGAATCCAGTCGGAGTTATATAAAAAATTGTCTTTGATCTTTCAAGCTGTTTAATGGCACTCAGTGGGTGTTGCATGCATCAGTCCAAAAGAAGTTAAATAAAAAGCGCCCATCCATAAAAAAAATGTCTCACACGACTCCGGGGGGTGAACAAAGGCCTCCTGTAGCGAATCACTGCGTTTTTGTAAGAAAAATATCCATATTCAAAACGTAATAATCACTTTAATGTAGCTTGCGCTCACTGTTGTACACTGGAAGCAGTTCCGGGCGGATGACGTATGGAGGTCAGCTTTGCGCATGCGCCGCTCAGAAGTGACGCTGTCCTGTTTAAGACGGGCTCATCCCAGGCTGCAGTTGTGTCGATTACCCAGCATCCTTTGCGCTAAGTCTGCTCCGATAGCACTGTAGGTGTCCCAGTTTCTCCCTCCACGAATGTAGAGCAGAGCCCGGCTTTTGCAGAACATGATTTAATGGGGAACGGGCTCACATCACTGTAGTTTGGGTATTTTTCAAATGCTCTCTTAAGACCAGATCTGAGCGTAATTAAGTACGTCACTGCAGAGGAAGTTCACTATTATAGCTATCTTACATGCTGCAGTTTTGACTTAATCGAAATGGCAGCTGTGTTATGAAACATTTTCCGTGAGGTTTACTTTTCTTAACAGTCTGTCTCGTTTCTCCAGACACCATTCGGGAAGGGTCTTGCCATTTCAGTTTGGTTCAGCCTCAGTCTGTGATAGGGAGCAGAGGCTGCTTAGAGCCTGGAGATACATTTCAGCTTGCTAATTTCATGGAAATCACTTTGTAGATTTTTCTGCTATGATAATATCTGCAGACGAGTAATATAAATTTCATCCTGTCTCACGATTGTTCCATTTTATTCTGCTTTCAGTTCTACTGTTACGAGTTAGTTAGTAATTTGAACAAGACTTGTGGTCGTAAGCACCCACCTATCAACCACCCAGAATATCCTAGCAACTGTATAGCAACGTGTTTAAAAAAAAACACTAATGACAACCTTGCTATGAACACCCTAGTAACTACCTAGCAACACCCTAGGAACTACCTAGAATATCATACAAGCAGCCATATGCACTCAAAACACCATAGCAACCACACAGCAATGAGCCAAAGCACTCTGAACACCTTAACAACACATAACAAACTCAGAATGCCCTGGAAACAGCCCAAGGCCTTTAGCAACCACATATAAACACCACTGTATCAATTATATGCATGCAGAACACCCTAACAACCACCTAGCAACTCCCTAGAAACCGCCTAATACATCATTGTATCAATTATATGGACTCAGAACACCCTAACAACCACCTAGCAATGCCCTAGCAACCATTCACCCAGAACACCCTGAAAACATATAGAAATGCCCTAGCAACCATCCAGAACACCCTGACAACCACCTAGCAATGCCCTAACAACCACCTAGCAACACCCCAGCAACCATCCAGAGCACCCTAACAACCTCCTAGCAATGCCCTAGCAACCATTTATCCAGAACACCCCGACAACCATCTAGCAATGACCAAGCAAGCATCTGGAACGCCTTAGCAACTGACTTAGCAATAGGTTTTGCATGGGCAAGCATCATTCACATATTCTTCAGAAAATGTCAACATTTATGTAGAGACAAAAGTACAACCTGTTTCAATTAAAATCCCTTCTGGATATTCCTTCAATGTTAGAAGCAAGCAGCAAAGAGATCACTGACTGGAGTAAATGCAAATTAAACCTAAAGCAGCTTGCATGTCTCAGGGGTGAGTCATGTGCATTACAGCAGTCCATTGGGTGCAAATGTGACTTAACCTTAATTTCTAGTGTGTATATGTGTATGTGTGTGTGTGTGTGTGTGTATTATTGGACAGCTCTGCTTAACGCCAGTCAGGCTGCAGTCCCTTGAGTCCTGCATTCAGTCAGGCAGTGCTGCTCACACTTGATCATTCCAATAAAGGGTGTTGGAGGAAGAGAAAAATCGATAAAGACCTTGAATGCCTCATATTTCTACTATCTATGCCAGCTGCATACAAGCAAACAATTGCATTATATTTTCCAAGGCCTGAAGGATGAATAAAAAAGCACAAAAAGGGCAAAATCATGAATATTTAAAATGTTATTAGAAAGTGAACCAGTTCAGATTATTAAAGGGAAAAAAATTTTTTTTGGTTGTTTTTTACTATTGTTCATATTTAGGGTTAGAGATCTAAACAAGCCAATTTTTATATTAAAGGGAGTTCACAACAATAAATAATAAAGTCATCATTTACTCAAGTTGTTCCAAACCTGAATGAGATTCTTTCTTCTGATGAACACAAAAGAAGTTGCTGGTAGCCATTGATTTCCATAGTATGGGGAAAAAACTCTATGGAAGTCAATGAAATGTTCCTGGATATTTTCAGAACGTTCAAAATATCCATTTTTTTTTTAAATATTTGTTTTGTAAACATTAGAGAAAACGTTAAGGGAATGTTACATTTGATTATTTTGCAAACATTATGGGAATGTTACTTTTGAATGTTCTCTGAACAATCTGAACCAAGATAACTTTATACAACATTCTATTAAACGGTTAGTTCACCCAAAAATGAAAATTAGCCCATGAATTACTCACCCTCAAGTCATCCTAGGTGTATATGACTTTCTTCTTTCAGACGAATCCAGTCGGAGTTATATAAAAAATTGTCTTTGATCTTTCAAGCTGTTTAATGGCACTCAGTGGGTGTTGCAGGCATCAGTCCAAAAGAAGTTAAATAAATGCGCCCATCCATAAAAAAAAAGTGTCTCACACGGCTCCGGGGGGTGAACAACGGCCTTCTGTAGCGAATCGATGTGTTTTTGTAAGAAAAATATCCATATTCAAAACGTAATAATCACTTTAATGTAGCTTGCGCTCACTGTTGTACACTGGAAGCAGTTCCGGGCGGATGACGTATGGAGGTCAGCTTTGCGCATGCGCCGCTCAGAAGTGACGCACGTGGAAGCGCAGCGGAGAGATCAAAACAAAACAACAGTCACTAATTAGAAGTACAAAACAAGGATTTGTAAAGAGGATTTTGATACAAGCCAAGAGGAGACTGGGTTTCCTTTGCTAAAGTAAGTAAACTTTGCTTCCTTTGCTCCTGTTAACAAACGTTGGTTTTCACGAGACTCATACGTCATCCGCCCGGAGCTACTTCTGTGTACAACAGTGAGTGCAAGCTACATTAAAGTCTTTTAATGGAGCCGTGTAAGACACTTTATTTGTATGGATGGGCACTTTTTATTTAACTTCTTTTGGACTGATGCATGCAACACCCGCTGAATGGAATTAAACAGCTTGAAAGATCAAAGACCATTTTTTATATAACTCCGACTGGATTCGCCTGAAAGAAGAAAGTCATATACACCTAGGATGACTTGAGGTTGAGTAATGTATGGACTCATTTTCATTTTTGGGTGAACTAACCCTTTAAGTGAGTCAAAAAAACTCTAAGGTTCAGCTAGTTGCATTTAATATAAATTTAAACATAATACATTTTCGGTAACACTTTATTTTAAGGTGTCCTTGTTACTCATGTTACATGTACTTACTATTATAATAACAATTAATTATACATAATTACATGCAAGTAACCCAAAGCCAAACCCTAATCCTAACCCTAACCATATAGTAAGTACATGTAGTTAATTAATATTACTCAGTACTTAAATGTATAATTACACTGTAACAAGGGCACCTTAAAGTGTAACCACATTTTCTTTGATTTGTTATTAACATGCAATTAAGTGTCAGAAACCATTACAATCACATCACACTTAAGAATATTTGTTACAGGTATATTTTTTAAAACTCTGCAAAAGTGTAATTCTTTTTCACAAGGTTTAAGTTAGTCTGCAGCGTCCTTGATGACCTAATGCTCAGAACTGACCTACAAGACATGTTAGTGTCCTGATGTTACCGGATTTGCATAATTCCTATATTAAATCAGATACTAAAACAACACAGACGGTGCATGCAAATAAACGAGACTACTAACGGGTACCCTGTGTCTCTGCTCTTGTTAGTCATGATCTTGTCATGGTGTCTGAATAAAGCCTATAAGCCTGTGAGTGAAAGAGTGATTTAATGAAGGAACCCCAGTGGTGTCGACCTTCAGCCTCTCAACTCAGGTGTTTCCTACTTGTAAGTGTTTAACTAATTAAACAAATGAATTGCTACCTTTATGAGACAAATTGGACTGGCCTTGCTCTTCCAGTTACGGTCAGCCTTCAGTGTATTCTTCAGGCAAAGTCCTTGAGAAATGAGCACAGCTGGCCGTAAACAGACCTGTCATACAAATACTTTCTGTCATAACAGTTTCTCTGCATAAACCATTTAGGGCATTTGGTCCAAGGACGCATGGACCGCAGTGTCCTTTCACGACATCTGGATGAGAACATAATTGATCGAACAGAACTAAAGCAAACCAAATATAGCAGAGTTCTCAGTGAGATCATAAAGTGTGGTGTGAATGTGAGGGATGAATGGTTAGATGCAGGCAAAAGTCATGGGAGCAGGCAGCGCCTGTGACTGACTGATTACCCTGTCAGAGTGATAATGTCCACCTATCATGTTTGCGTCGGCCTGAATACATCAAACTGGTGGAAATGGATGGACTAATTACATAGTAAACAGCTCACCCACTCAGATAGCACCATTTTCGGTCACATCCAAAGCCAAATGAATTTGAAATGATAATCTGAGAGTGAGCTGGTTTTTAGCAAACACTCAGTTAAATTAAATCTGCACCCCCTGTCTGCGACCTTCATTACACCAGCGGTGTTTACCGAGGATTTAAAGGATTAGTTCACTTCCAGAATAAACATTTCCTGATAATTTACTCACCCCCATGTCATCCAAGATGTTCATGTCTTTCTGTCTTCAGTCGCAAAGAAATTAAGGTTTTTGAGGAAAACATTCCAGGATTTTTGTCCATATAATGGACTGCAATGGTGCTCAACCGGTTGAAGGTCCAAATTGCAGTTTCAATGCAGCTTCAAAGGGCTCTACATGATCCCAGCCGAGGAATAAGGGTCTTATCTAGCAAAACGATCGGTCATATTCTTAAAAAATAAAAATGTATGTACTTTTTAACAACAAATGCTCGTCTTGCACTAACTCGACCTTACGCATTATATAGTCACATTGGAAAAATCCCGTATGATGTAGGAAATACCGACCCAGTGTTTACAAAGCGAATGTGGAAAGTTTCGCCCCACCCAACCGGAGTACACAGACGAAGAGCTAACCGCACGTGACCTTTTCATGTGTGAATTTGCAGACGTGCATCACAGAGCTAGTGCAAGACATGCATTTATGGTTAAAAAGTATATAATTTTTTTTTTAGAAAATGACTGATTGTTTTGCTAGATAAGACCCTTATTCCTCGGCTGGGATCTTGTAGAGTCCTTTGAACCTTCATTGAAACTGTAATTTGGACCTTCAGCCCATTGGCCACCATTGAAGTCCATTATATGGACAAAAATCCTGGAATGTTTTCCTCAAAAGCATTCATTTCTTTGCGAAACTGATGACAGAAAGACATGAACATCTTGGATGACATGGGGTGAGTAAATTATCAGGAAATGTTTATTCTGGAAGTGAACTAGTCCTTTAATGGTCAGACAAGAAGGTGACGATAAAAAATAGACAAGCAACAGCCAGTGGTAACAAATCAAAAGCTCAATGAAATATGATTGGTATTGTTGTATATTGTTTTCGAAGCACTCTAAAAATGTTTAAAAACCCATAAACTTGATGAGAGTTTGATATGGTGGGATTTAATAAATATTATGATCATTTACAATACCTTTCAAAAGTCAATTTCAAAAGAGATTTTGAAAGAAGTTCACCAAAGCTGCATTTATTTGATCAAAAGTACAGTAAAAAACGTAATAATGTGAAATTATTCACAATATTATTACAATTTAAAATAATTGTTTTCTATTGTAATATATTTTGAAATGTATTTTTATTCCTGTGATCAAAGCTGAATTTTCTGCATCATTTCTCCAGTCTTCAGTGTCACATGATCCTTCAGAAATCATTCTGATATGCTGATTTGCTGCTCAATAAACATTTTTTATTATTATCAATGTTGAAAATGTAAACACTGAAATAGTAAAAAAACACACACATAAATATTAGAAAATATTTCAATTGTTTTTGATCAATTTGAAGGAAAAAAAGGGTTTATTTCTTAAACAATATAATCTCACTGGCCCCAATCGTTTTAATAGTAGTTTAATAATAATCAAAATATATTATTATATTGGTATATTAATATAATCTAAAATAATCCATATTGCCCTTACAAAGACCTGAGATGATCGAACACCTGAGAAGAGATTATGCAACCCCTCAGACAACATACAAAACTACCAAATTTTGCTACAAGTTTGATTGCAACATATAATCATTGCTGTTAATAGTGTTCATCGTTTGATTACGTCATTAACTGAATTTTACCATACATTTCTGCCATATGTACATCAATTTCACATAGTCACACTGACAAGCTACTACTAAATATATTGTAGAAACGTAATTTTCTGTAAAGTTGCTTTGCAATGATTTGTATCGTGAAAAGCGCTATTCAAATAAACTTGAATTGGATTGAATTGAATTGCTCTGTTTGTTTGAGTGGCCCAACACAGCAACATTGGCTCCATCAGTAGTGAGTGTTGAAGTGATTTGGGATGGAACAATGATAAGGACAATAAGGATGTTTGGAAACCTGTTCATTATTTTTGTCTCTCTTTTGTCTTTTAGGTGTCGTTTATGGCTATAAGGGTTTGCTGCTGCTTCTGGGGATTTTTCTGGCTTATGAAACCAAATCTGTGTCCACTGAAAAAATAAACGATCATCGAGCTGTTGGGATGGCCATCTACAATGTCTCTGTGAGTCTGTTCATCTTTTTATACTTGTCCCTCTGGACATTTTAAAGAGCGCCTTGGGTGACATTTGAAATGTCAGTCGTCACCCAAATATTGTCCAATTAAAAGGTAGAACTGTTCAGCTGACGTGACTGAAATAGCACCGCAGAGGGTTTTTTTTCTTTCACTGCTCAAGTTTAGTTGGGAGTTGGCTTGTGAATTGGACGCAGCGTCCGTCTGGAGCTGTTGTGTGTCACAACACACTCATAAGCAGCAAGAACATGCCTGGAGCTCTTCAGTGTGGCTGTGCTAGATTTGATGGAAGTGAAGTGTCTGAGCCTGCCATCTCGAATGCTGTCCAGGGACGCAGAGTTTTCCAGAGGACAGGGAAAAGGGGGGAAAGAGAGCTTCCCCTCATCATCGGGAATAAGCGTGCACGTCAGTTTGACGAGACTGGAGCTCTAAAGTAGTTAGAAAACTCAAGTAAAGTGGTCCCTCAGTAATGTTGAAAGTTGTTTGTTTTTGCACATCATCTCGTCTGTTCCACTTTAGCATTTCAGTGCCGCCCCACGGCTCACAAGTCATGAAAGCAGCACGTACCACGCTGATAACACACTCAATGTGGAGGCTAAATACACAGGAATCTCGTTTCATTTGCCATAAAGACTTCTGGTCTGTTTTCTATGGTGGAAGTTGATTGGAAATAAAGCACAAAGCTTTTGTTCATCAGCTTTTTCATTGTAAGCTTTTAATTTGAAGCAGTGTGTTTCTCTTCATCTCGGCCTCCGAGGATTATCCATTATACACTGAACCCAATTTTAGCTCAAATTGAGGGAGAGACTTTAGATCAGCAAGGGGCCGAATTTTGCATTTTAATCTTTTCTCTCTCACTCTCTTTTTTCTAAGACTCAGGCCGACTCCTGGCCCTTAGCAAATGCCCATTCTGCTAAAGAAAGGATCTCAGATGCCATCTGCCATGCTATTACGAACTCCATCACTTTTTTAGAATTTCAGCTGCTTGGAGGACAATAATAAAGACGAGAGCCCTCCGGTTCACAGCAAACTGATAAGATTTATTGAATTCACATAGAGGACTTGTTTTTGACTTGTTTTTATCACCACGAGGCTTGATTATTGTAACTCTCTTTATGTGGGGATCAGTCAATCCTCCTTAAACCGCCTTCAGATGGTTTAAAATGCGGCTGCCAGAGTCCAGACGGGAGCTTGAAAGCGTGAGCATATTACCCCTGTCCTGCAGTCGTTACATTGGTTACCTGTGTGCTACAGGATTAATTTTAAAGGGGTCAAAGATCATTATTTTGTGTATTTGGTGTAACAGAATATGTTGACATGCTTTAATGTTCAAAAAACACATTATTTTTCAAATACTGTACATTATTGTAGGTCCTCTATGCCCCGACTCTCTCAAACGCTTCGTTTTCTACAAAGTCCCTCCTTCCGACAAGCGCAGTCTGCTCTGATTGGCCAGCTGACCCAGTGCATTGTGATTGGTCGAACACCGCAAGCACTCGTCGGAAATGTAACGCCCCTTACCATAATCGCCAGCTTCATCTTTCAAAATAAATGTAAAGACAGTAAATAATGTCATTAGTTTTACCATCAGTTCAAGCCCGAAAGGGGAACAGAGTCGCGACAGACACAGTGATGAAGCTGGTATGTGTTTGCAGTACACAAGCCACGGTTAAGACAGCTGACTCCACTGTGAT